AGTGCTCTGTATCCTATATCTCCTGAGCTTTTTTCAACACCTTAAACTAAAGCTCATTCCACAGCTTTGAACTGTATTTTTAAATAACTCCCTCTCATGCCTGAACCTGGGACAAACCATAATAACATGTTCCACAGTTTCCTGTACCCTACACAACTCACATTCCTCTGTATTAATTTCAAAGTTCAAGTTCAAAGTTCAAAGTGTTTATTTTTGTCAGGTCCGCCAGGTGCGACCTGCTTCTCTTTTTCTTTTTTCTCTCTGGCTCTCGTTTTTGTGGGATCCGCGCCTCAGCTGTGTCGCTTTTTGCAATTAGCGACTCGTGGGTTGTCGCGCACGGCTGGGGCGCGTTAGTGTAATGACTTCCCTACCTTATTTATGCCTCTGGCAGACGCTCCGTCGTCGCCAGAGCATTGACCTAACGTGCGTTACCAAACTTACCTGACCTAACATGCGTTACCAAACTTACCTGACCTAACATGCATACCCCGTAACAGCTGTTGATTCATGGTATGTATCGGACGTATTTTGTTTACCACGCTGACAGTTCCTGTGCTGTGGATCTCATTTTATACGTAGATTATATGTTTTGTGTTATACGGTCCACGTTGACAGTTCCTGTGCTGTGGACCTCTTTGTTTTTTTTGTCCATGAGGTTAGCCAGACGTTACTTGTTTTATCCCAGCTGACAGTTCCTGTGCTGTGGAAATCCGTTTTGTTCGCCTGTCCCCTTGGTTAGCCTGTCTTTTCACCTCTCTGTCCTCATCCTCCTGCTCTCCTGATTCCTGCCGTCAGTTTATCTGTTTCATCTCTGCCCTACTTTGTTTATATACGTATGTACATGACCCTTGTTATGTTGTTACTTTGTGTTTTGTTCCATTAAACCTCTTTTTTTTTTTTTTTTTTTTTTTAATAACACATGGATGTCAATCTAAGGCACTTTAAGCAGCGCAGATGTAGCAATATAGTAAAAAAAAATATATACAGGAATATAACAGAATGTATGCTGCATGGGAGCAGCATGTACAGCAGAGTCGTTGTGCAATTATGCATGTAACACAAAATCTAGGACACTTTAGGCAGCAACAGATGCAGCAATACAATAAAATATAATAGAGAATGTATGCTGCATGGGAGCAGCATGTGCAGCAGTCAACAGTCATTATGCAATTATGCATGTGCAAACAGAATGTAAACAGTACACCACGTATTTCTTGGTAATAAACTCCTCAGCTGTTTAGGAGTCTGATGGCAGAGGGGAAGAGTTTTTGCAGTCTAGTGGTCCTACATTTCACTATTATGAAATGTTCCTATTATGCTTCATCAGCTTCAATGTCCTTTTTCAAACCAGTATACCCAAATCACAGTCTTGATATTATATCTTCTTCTTTCCTATTCCTAGTACTTCCTCTCTTTTCTTTCCCTTGTCTGTTTCTTTTCTTACCTGTCTGTCAATGATTGTTTCTATCTTAATGCAATGAGCTCTCTTGGCTATTGTACTATTATAATACTAGTTGGTGATGTACTCCTTTATTGTGATATTGAACATGGCCAGTGTAGTTTCTGCTGGAACTCAAGCCACACCTTTGTTTTCTTGCCTCAGGCGCATGTTCACAAGGCAAACATGATGATAAATAGCACCAACTCTAAAAGGGCACTCAAACTAACTGCAATATCTTGGTTTTATTCTCTTAGTTTTTACTGCACTTATTCCTCTTATGGCTGTGTCTTTTGATGAATTTTATTGCAGCTGAATCAATGCAGCTTCCTGATGGTCATGTCAGTCTAAAGTTGATCTCTGGACTCCCAGATTTTCCCGGAAGGCATAATGAAAAACCACATACCCTGATGTCTAGCAAGTGTCTCCTGTGACACAGTCTGGTAATGAATATGGGCATTGTGCTTTGTTCCACTGAGCTCTGCAAACAGCAAACTCCCTGATGTCTAGCAAGTGTCTCCTGTGACACAGTCTGGTAATGAATATGGGCATTGTGCTTTGTTCCACTGACCTCTGCAAACAGCAAACTCTCTGCAATCAGTGATATTCCAGAAAACAAAGATGTGGCTTCAGTTCAATGACGCTGATGAGAGAGCTGGTCATGAACTCATTTTTTGTTGTTTTCCTTTGTCAGAACTACACTATGTCTGTTGGCTAACTATAGAAAACTCACTCAGTGAAGATTTAAAGCACTGGCTGCTGAAACCAGATTAAAGAGTCTTTTGTGTTGTGTATGGCCTGTTTTGTCTGTTTCTTTTCTTACCTGTTTGTCATTGTACAGTGCCATTGATGAGGTGTAGTAAAAATATCATATGGTACTCAGAAATATTATTTTATCTTATATTGTCATTTATCTAATTCAGCCTCACCATAATACACTTAGTCACACACGTCATCTGTCGTGTGCCGATGGCCGATTATCTTTTTATGATGGACATCGACAGTGTCTTCCACAATCGTTTTGGAACTGAGTCTCTTCGCCAGCTGTCTGCTGTGCTCCACAGGCTCTACTACAAGGTTTTACTGTTTTCCCATTTATGTTAATGAAATCTTTACTTATTTAATGTTAATAATAATCCATTGTGGTGCAGTCTTTCCTATGTCTTTGTCCTTGCTATTTTTGAGATTAATGCCACTACTAATTTACTAAGTTTAGTTTACCCTTTTTCTGTTTGAATAAATTTGATATTTAAAAAGAAGATTTAACTCCAACAACGGTGGAACAAATTTCCCTTACGAGTCAGGCTTGTTTTGGTGCAGTAAAGCTGTAGCCAAATACTCTATCAAAACAGAAATGATAAGATCACCTTAACAAAAATGTGACCCTGTTGCCAAAAGCAGCACCCATTCCCATTGTTCTGCCTGGCCAAACATGAAAACAATCCATGAGTAGAATGATTAACCCAAACAGTCCTGCTCTGACTTTGCTTTTAGATCTACATTTGCTTTTAGATACATAACGCACACCCAGTTGACCTCGTTTGCTAGAAATTGTCCTTCTCCCCAAAGTGGGAGTCAGACAGTCTCTGCCTTGTGGCCAAGTGCTGATCAGATAAAATTTTGTGCAACAAAGTAAGTTGGGAAAGAGAGTTCACACGTCATTTTTATATTACAGTATGTGACTTTTTGCTAATGCCAGCCAGATAATTCTCTTTGGAGCATTTTAATCAGTCATTGGTTTTTCACTTTACTCAGTAAGGAAATATAAGTATGTTTCAAGTAGTTTATAACTTTACAAGTAATTTTAAGTATGTTCTTATTTACTAATCTGGCAGCTAAAAAGTCAGTTAATTTTCATATCAATAAAGGTTATTCCTGTTTGGTCAGTCCTTGCCTTTTTTTCTATTTTTAATTTTATTTAGTGTGCAATCAGTCTCTCAGTTTCTTTCCATGGATCATACATCTCACTGCCACCTCTGGTTTCATGTAGAGTGGAATTCCTCAGGGTTCAATATGACATCATAAAAACAGTTTACATTATTTAGCCTTGTTTTGGAACATTTTAAAACAGCTTCTACGTATTTTGGGGATAAGAATTTACCTTCAGCTGTGATCACATACCCCAAAGCAGGTCACCTGGTACTGGACCCATTATAATTTAACTATGGCTAACTTTGTGACCATCGTTTGCCAGATATTGTAGCAGAGCTCTTGTATCTATTTCACAACCCTGCCTTAACAGAGAATAGTAGTTCTGTTGGAGACCTTCCCCCCGGCGGCACAGATGCTTCCAGCTGCAGCAAATAGGGAAACCAAATTGAAAGCCTTAGTGCCCAGTTATACAAAGCATTTGAACCAAATCAACAATCAGGATTCATATACCATTTAATGGAACTCAAAATAGCATAATATGTGAAACTGGAATATTGTGGAAATCATTACATTTATTACCTTTGTTGCATACTGAATATATTTATGACCTTCAGGCTTAAGCAAATCAATGTCTGGCCAGCATCGCCAACTTCATTACTGGTTTGCACCTAGATGTTTCACACTAAATAATGCTGATGTACAATATCAACTCAACTACCAGTGTTTTCCTGCAGTTATTTCAGGTTCAAATGAATGTTGTTCTATTTTGTTTCTCTGTAGTCGTGAGACATGTACTTGCTGTGTATGAGAATGAGCAAAATTCTTCTAAGCAACCATGGTTGTGGATTTAATCAGCATCTTATATACATCACCATTCTGGCCATACAGTGTTCTAGGATCCCCTTCTACCAGTACAAATGTATTTAGCTGCATCCTTTGTGTACTGTACATACGTATGTAGGGGCAAGAGTCAGTTCTCTTTGCAAATTGTCAGTGGTGATTTGGGTGTGTTCAGCAAACATTTCTTCATTGCATTTGTATGTGTGTGCGTCACTTCTCTTATCTGGACTCCAAGCAGCAGCGTTTGGGCGTGGTTACCTTCTCTCTCTACCCCTGCCATCACATCCTCAGTCAGATATAGTGAGAGTGGCATGTCCTTATTCGGGCAGTCTCGAGTCCAATGTCCCCATTGGCCACAGGCCAATGTCTGTATGTCTCTAGAAGCCTCTTCCCCTGCCTCGGGCACCTCCTCCGGCCTGATACATGGTCATGGCTGCCATATGCAGTTCTTTCTGTTTTCTCTGCTTTAAATCTTCACTGAATGAGTTTTTCTGTAGTTAGCAAACAGACAGTGTAGTTCTGACAAAGGAAAACAACAAAAAATGAGTTCATGGCCAGCTTTCCTATTAGTGTCAGCTGATGTGTTCTGTAACACACAGTAAGAAAATAATAGGACAGAAAACACAAAACTGTGAATCAGATCCTTATGTGTTACTTTGTATATAATGGTATTTAATACCATAAGGCAACTTCGCCCTCCATGTGTCTGAATTCTGCTTTTATTTGATCAGATACTGTTATGAGCAGTCGGAGGAGGACACCAAGAACAAGATTGAGGCTGTGTGGCAGGAAGAGAGTCATCTCAACAAGTAGTGTCACAGTTCAATCTATCATTATGAAAACTTCGTGGGGTGTCTGGGAGAAAAGTAAAATACAGGGTTCTGGTACAAATACATAGGTAGTATGACCCCTTAGCATACTAGGCACATAGCATGGGTATGATTTTCCATCTAAGGGTATGGTGTACCCTTGACATATACAATGTTTTCAAAGCAGCTATAAGAACACGGTTCAGGTATGATAAACAAGTACAGTATAATGCATAAGAAGAGCACATATATCTGTATGATATGTTAAGTGCTTTGGTCAGCTGTGCTGTGGTAAAGCGCTATATAAATTAAGTTTAGTTGAGTTGAGTTGAGATAAATCATTTCCATTACAAGTCAACCTTGTCTTGGTGCAGTAAAGCTGCAGCCAAATACACTATCAAAACACAAATGTAAGATCAGCATAACTACAAGTAAGATTGCTGACACTGTTGACAAAAGCAACAACCATTCCCATTGTTTTGCCTGGCCAAACATGAAACCAGTAATCCATGGGCAGAATGATTCACACAGACAGACAAAAGCAACACCTATTCCCGTTGTTTTGCCTAGCCAAACATGAAACTAATAATTCATGGGCAGAATGATTCACACAGACAGTCCTGCACTGACTGGCTGGCTCTGCTTTTAGATACATAAAACACACCCAGTGGAGCACATTTGCTAGAAGTTGTCCTTCTCCCATTTTGGTACAGTCAGACAGTCTCTGACTAAATGACTCTAAAATGCTGTGCAACAAAGTAAATTGGGAAAAAAAGTACACATGTCATTTTTATATTATAGTGTGTGACTTTGTACTAATGGAAGCCAAATAATTCTCTTTGGAGCATTTTTATCAGTCGTTTGTTTTTCACTTTACTCGGTAAGGAAATATAAGTATGTTTCAAGTAGTTTATAACTTTATAAGTAGTTTCAAGTATGACAAATAAGCATATTGCATGAGAAGAACAAAATCACATAACCCAATCATTTCCATTACACTTCCATCTTTTGGATAATTCATGGATCACTTAGCATTAGCCTAATACCTGGTACCTGATACAACATCAGATGCAAACATTCACTAGGATTCAAATTTCATCATCATAAATAAGGGTTGAAGGCAGTATGCTGTTTGTGGGAATGATATTTTTATTATTAATGATAACTTTACCAAGTTTGTATGACATCAAAACATCATCCCCATTGTCTGTTTACAGTTCATCATTACAATGTGTGTCACAGGGCAGAGGCATCTTTAAACCATAACAAGCTATAGGGGCTAAAACCAATAGAATTACAATTGGAAAGGTAAGTTAGCAAAGGCATTAGCATTTTCCTCAGGAGAACAGTCATGGCATTGCATCTGTGTATAATGCGGAATGTGATTTTTTTAGCATTGAGCCGATCAGCTTTCTCACAAGAAGAATCACACATGATGAAAGAATGCACAAAAGTATCAGAGTGGCCAGCAGATATACTAGTTGTGAGCAAAATTCATTTCTAACAACCAAGCCCTGAGTCCAGTGTTGGGGTCAGTGACCCTGTCAGCCATCACAGTGACTCTGAGGTCTGTCATGATTTGTGATGCCTGATGTATCATTCCTCCGTCAGCATCGTCCTCAGGGATAAATACTCAACAGGATGAGCTAACAATTACAAAATGAGGCAGTGCTGCACATCTGAACTTATATTGTTTGCATTTTTACAGAAAATAGCCCTTGTTGTTTTGGTTCATAGACTACCAGCACAAAATTTACATAACCGTTGGCGCAGAGGGAAGTCGTGTCTTGCCTCTGAAGCAAAACGCTGGTGATGTTCCAAAAACGAAAAACGGAATGTTGGCCAGAAAGAGATTAATATCCACAGGAGCACACACAGCCTGTTAAAATGCAGTTATTAGCAAGTAGAATGCTGCATTTTATTGGTTGTACTAGCTCTTTATGGGTACTTACAATGGTACAAATGTACTGCATGATTAATACTCTTTCAAATATAACCCATAAAAATGAGTTGAAGGTTTTTTGATGCTAAATAACATTTTCAGTATCACAGTATTAGCTTTAATCACTTTTGTGCAGAGAAAATATTGCATTTTACTGTTTCTACTGATCCTTTATGGGTACTTAACATGGTAGAAATATACAGGGTAATTTCTAATCTTTAAAATATAATCCACAATAGTGAAATGACAGTACTGAGGGGGAATACCCTCAGCAGTTATGACTCAAGAAACTCTGATTTCACTTTAATCTACTGCGGTTTTTGGTTATAATTAGAATTATTTTGTTACAGTTTCCTCAAAAGTTAAAGTTTTACAAAAACATATCTTTGTACTACCATTTAGAAGGTTTATTTTGACATTTTATTATGATTTGATTGTCAAAAGCAGCTGAATGGGGTGTATAAAATGGTCGGGCGTGCTTCTCAGCCCTTAACCACTTTCTGGCACACAGCCCATTTTAGGCACATCACCAGCCTGCTGCCTGATTTCAAAGGCTGGCCCATGATTATACCGCCCTTGGCTTTATTTGTATGCAAAACACAGGGGCGGGATATAGGGGACCATTTGGATAGGCAGTACTGTAGGATTTCAATTGTAAAAACAATTTTAGTTTAATCTGTGTTTTGGTTTGATTTGGTTTAGCTCAGTGCAGTACAAACTATAAATTATCCAGATAATTGAAAATGATGCTCAGGCTGTCCAGGACCCATTTTTTATTCAGTTTTGCCTTTCTTATCGTCTTCTTGGGGTAAGTCCTTTACCTGCAGTAATAAGAGTTGTATGATAATACTGCACTGCAAAGTGTCTTTTTAAAAATATCTTATAGATTCTGCATTGTTATAGCTAGAGACATATTAAAAAAGAAATGTAAACTATGCCTTTTTGATCTGAGATAATTTGTCTTCTCTAAATTATTAGACATATGAAAGCATGTATACATTATCCAAATATGTTAGAAATTACACTACATTGTGAGGATTATTTTGTTGTGCTTTGTTTTTCTTCTCATTCTGGGGAAAGACTTTTACTGAGTAAGGATACCAGCTGCACTAATTTACACACTAAACCTTAGAGTGTAAAAGAGGCCTTGAACAGCAGGAAAATATTGTAAACATTTGAATTTTCATGCTGTGTGTCAGGCTATACTCTTTCACTTCTTATTGCTTTACTGTCCTGTAAAACACACAGTTGGAAAACCTTTAACAGCCAACCCTGTCTTTACAGGGCCAGCTTTGTCTACTCAGGATATATCACCTTATCTTTCACAAGGTAAGGCTTGTGTAAGACAGAAGCGCATGTCCCTGCTTGAAATGAACACAAACTGAACATTGTAATAGCTCCTCATCCCATCGTGTCTCTGTCCAATCTCTTCAGAAGGTTGCATACTGTGGTAATTTTCTTATGCCGTTTAAATGATTTGTTTATCAATTGTATTCATTTAACCGACATATGATTATATTTTGTTTCCCTGTTAAGTTCAGCCATGTAATAAAATTATTGCCCCCCAAATGGATTTCTATCTTGGCCGTTGCAGACAAAACTTTGTGTCAATCATCAGAAACAATAAAAGGGCTTGAGTCTTTTTGGCTGGTTACCTCAAAAATAGTTGGGTCAGCTACGGTAATGTGAACTGCAGATATCCATCATAACAATATAGTATGAATAAAACATGAACAATTTAGTCATTGTGTTTTGCTGTGGTAAATGTTTATGATATGGTAAATGCATGATAAAACAATGTGGTTTTGAGACATTTTATAGGAAACAATGGATGAAATGTGACTTTGTTTTACGAGAACTCGGGACACCAGCATTCTTCATGGCTTGTGTAGACTTTGTACCCGCATTTTTTTAATTATTATTTTGTACCTCCATCTCTGCTACTGAACACAGACTGAGTTTCTAGTAAACTCTGGCTTTAACCTTTTCTTGCTCTTCTAAGAAGTAAATTCTCATAATGTTGCCTAGTGCTGCTTTTAAGGCAGTGTGTATTATACTCTGCTTGAATAAACTTAACACTGCGTTTAATGGCAATATCAACTATTTTGCTTTTCTCTGTACAAAAAAAATAAAAAAAGCTGTCAGGGTCGCTGCATAAAGCTGCCGATGTTGTCACGGGGGTGAACTCAATTATAGAGCCAGAT